AAAATTTTAAAATTTTTTTAATTTTCATCTTTGTTCCCCCCCCCCCCAGTGGCACAGCGGTATGTCTGCGGACTTACAACGCTAGAATCCAGGTTTTGATACCCGTGGTGGGCAGAGCTCAAATAGCCCACTGTGTAGCTTTGGGCTTAATTACAAACAAACAGTCTTTATAATTTTATCATTAACATAATAATTTACTCACTATTATGCTTCTAACCAATCAATGAAACATCAAAGTGTTACTTATTTCATTTAGCTGGTAATAGTTCATTAAAGTATTTATTCAGGAACCTAAACCATTAATTACACATTAAAGTACTACTTAAGTGACTTTCACGCTTCTAATTCACCATTGACTGTATCTAAAGTATTACTTGAGTGGTTCTGTTATTAATTCTATTTACCTGTTAGTTGGATATTAATGTACTAATTTATTTGACCTAAGACTTCTTTTAACCATTAATCATGAATAGAAATAATTAATTAGAATACTGCATTATTAGCCATAGGAATTCAATATAAGCATTCGTTTTATATTTAAATACTACTATAGTCGCTCTTAGACCTGCATTTAACTATTACTTACTTTTGAAGTTTCATTTTAACCACTAATTACATATTAATGTACTATTGTAGATGCTATCTATTTAACCAACACCTATACATGTTCAAGATATATTTTGCTCGCCATCAACTTCTCTCTAATCACTTAAAAAACAGGTTACTATTCTACTTTATCGGCTCTTAGGCACATCGAGGTTAAAGTCTGACATAACTTGGTGGTTAGGGCGCTCGATTCGTAATCTAATGGTCGCGGGATCGAAACCAGTCACCAAACATGCTCACCCTCCATCCAGTCATGGAAAAGGCTTTATAGCAACCCAAGAGTTGGCGGTAGTTGTTGTTGTTGCATTTTCTCTAGTCTAGTACAGATAACCCTTGTGTAGCTTTGTGCGAAATTCAACAAAACAAATCAAGTCATGGTTGATTATTAAATTTGAAAACAATCTTTTGATACTTGGCACGAAACTTTGTAAGTGTTATTCTGTTAGAGGGGTAATTATTTCTAAAAGTTTGGTTAATTTAGCATTGCCAGATAATAAAGCTTCTCAATGGAATTAGACCATAAAATATTGGAAGAATGACTATCTGTACCTACGAATTTTTCTTTACTTATCAGACACAAAGCTAGCGAAAGTGTTTATTTGTCAAGCGTTTTCACTCTGTTTCAGATACATATTAAACAGTAATGATCATGAACTTGACCTTATACTCCAGCAGATATAAAAAAGTAATCCACCCGACAAGTTAAGGTTGTTTTTTTTTCATCAATCTTAGTCAAGTCGTCATTCGCACAAAATAAACTTAAAAGCAAATGGCATTGAATAATCCAACTTCCCACAAGTTTTTAATGAGAAGACGATACTTCCGGTTTCAAAGAAGAAAAAACACATACATTAAAGGAGATTAAGAAACAGAATCGTTTTACTTCTTTATTTTTGTACTCTTAGATCTACATCTCTAAAATCGATATAATTAATACATTCCACAAACTATTTTCAGACTGATGTTTAGCGGCCGAAAGTTCACAAGAGGAAAATGCTTTCTTGTCCACGATATACAGAGCGTTTTATTTCATTAGACTAAGATACTTAACATATATTGAACTGCTCCAAGGTTTTCGTAACTAATATTTATTTTAAACGTTGTGTTTACGAAAGCGCATTGGTTTCATTTTACAAAGCACGGCCAGCGGGCGAGTAACAATAATACTATTTAAAACAACAATAACATATATATATATTTTATATTCTTTCTCACGTATTAATTTACATGACATCTAAGTCGAAAATGGATTGAAATAATACTCATTTATTAAATATTGGATCACGAGGAAAATGCTTATGTACAAAGCAAGTGGTGGCCTCTTAAAGGAAGTGCATTTCTAGTTTTGTTTAAAGCGTGTGAACATCGAGACATTGTGAAAATTTGTTGTACTTGGTCTTAGGGAAGTACAGTTATCAATCGCATTTACAAAAATTAATAATAGGTAAGCACCATAAAAACATTTTACTGATAATTGTTAAAACTAACAGATGGCCGTTGAAACAATTTCTCTGTAATTTTCCTAAAAACAGTGATGAATAAATAAAAAATGTACAGTTAACACAATTCCTTGGATCAGTATCTTTTTGCGATATGATTGTCTAGTGGACCTTTACAACCGTTTTTTTGTCGTTCCATGTGTTATTTCAATAAGGAATTGCGTTCAATTTGTGTTCAAGCATTGCTAGCAAAAATGTTTGGTTTTCGATACGATGAACGCATCCAGCACAATAGAGTGCTCAGGTTCGCTAAGTAGAACGCTGGGATTTTTTTTCGCTGGATGTCACCGTTCTTTGTCATCTTACTGAGCGCAAGAAAAGACCGCTACCAAAGTGAGCGCTTTTTAACAGTTGTCGTTTTTTTTTAAGAAGTGTCAAAATAGAAACATACAAGTGAATTGAAATCAATTAATTCGACATGGTACAATAAAATCATGCATGTATATATTTTTGACATGACAAAATAATGTATATGTGTAAAAACCGAACAAAGATAAATACTTATATAATTAAACACTTCTCTCTCTTTTATGCGATTTTGTTTTCGTTTATGCTTCTCCAATCTTTGAAATATTTATTTCAGTCTGTCAACAGAAGAAGTTCCATTTTTTCTTAAAATTTCCTCACAAAAGGAGCATTTTTGGTCTTTTTTTT